TAGAGGGGTTGCACACTTCCACGATCACTAGGTCGTTGTACACTGTGCACAGAGTCCAAGCAACTTTAATGAAGTCATCCAATTCGGCGAGTCCTTCTACGAGGACGGTGGTCCCGTCAACCGGTTGACATTGAATCTCCGCGACCACTAGAGCTTGTCCACCAGGGCGGAGTCGGACGGTAGATGAGATGCGGGACAGGTAAGATTCCTCCACTCGAGGAGATCCCAGAGGGAACACTTCACCCGAGGCGTTTAGCGACTCATCCAAGTCTACCACGGCGCGGAAGTCCTTGAGAGCGTTGGTGCCCAGGATGGCGTCGACGTGTAGCTTAGGTACGACGGCAAACGGTATCCTCCTCTCGACGGAGCCCAACGTTACTGGCAAGTAGATTGCTCCTTCGATATCGAGCGCAGACCCGGACACACTGTTCAGACTGCCAACGTAGGGTATGAGAGGGGGGGGGTAGTCAAGCCGAGACGCTTCAATACCCGCCGGTGCGCTAGGCACGCTACGGCCCCGGAGTCGATGAGAAGTTCGGCCGGGAGGTTCTCGATAAACCCCCACGATAGAGCTTCCACGCCCCACGGATCCAATCACCCGCTTGCCGAGGGGGACGACACCTTCTTCCTCGTCGGCTGACCAATTCTTTGTAGAGCTCGGTACTTCCACCAGGCCCGCCTTGGGGCGTGGTTCCGGAGCGTCGGCGATGACGTTCACATAGCCGTATAACCCGTTTTCCTTATCCTGGGAAGAACTGTTTGGTCCGAGGGCTTCGGTACGGTCTTTGAACAGGGAGGAACAGTCGAAACTGACTTGCTTCGATTTTGGGGAGTACATAGGACCAGAACCCTTCCATCGACAGAGTCGACAGGGTGAACTCCTCTTGAGGATCTGCAAGCGTAGTTGATCAGCATCCTTCTCGTAGAGGTCCGAAAATCTTTTAGTTAGTAACCCCTTCGACCGCGAGTCAGAGGGAACAACGAGGCGATCGATCCATTCCTCGGTCCGATTTAGGAGATCTTGGGGCTTTGTGGGGGGCGGGGAGTCATCTTTCTTTTCTTCTTCTATTGACCCTTCGTCGATACACCCTTCACACCAGTCACCTCCACTCGAAGCTTCAGCCTTTACGAGGAAGTATACTGCTCGCCGCACCAAGGCACGACAAGGGTCAGGCACGATACCTCAAAAGTCCAGCAAACCGTACTCGGTTTCGTTGAGGTCAGGGGGCCTCTCTGGAGAACCTCCCAGGGCCAGCGCGATATTATCTTCAACTACGGAGGGGTCCACGGGACATACTTCTCCCAAGAGAGGTGGTATCTTCAGCTCCAGGACGTACACTACCGTCTTAGGCACATCCTGCCACGAGAACCTCTTCGTCCAGGTTCCGCCCCTTCGTCTCGGTAATCGGAGTCGTCCAAAGCTACAGAGTTATCAGGACCTGCGATTCCTCTTTAAAGTTACGGTTGGCGCGCTTCGCTTCTCCGGATGAGGCCAGCTTCTTTTGGAATCATTCCACCCAGTACTCCGGAGTATATAGTCGACCGAGGGAAGAATCTCGGGTCCTCACTAGTTTCTCTTCGGGAATGCCTAGCAGAACACTCAATTCGGCAAGGGATCACGCCTTTGACTGTTCCGCATTTTCGACCAACCTGCGCTTTAGTTCTATCTCATCAAAAGGGAATAGTTGATCTTCGACTTCTTTGACGTACGATTCCTTCTCTTCGGCCAGCTCAGACGGCTCTCCTTTTTCTAAAGCATTCAGTTCTTCCTGGGTGAACACTCTTGCAAAGATAGGCTCCTTCTCGGGTCCATCCTTTGCCAAACTAGTACTGACGACGTCCTCAGAGTCCTCTCTGGAGGAGTCGTTTCTTCCGGGAGAGGTCACGTCTTCCTCCCTCTCGCGTGGTTCTACCCTCGAGACGGGGACACTACCTTCTGTAGTTCCGCACTCTTCTTGGGGTGGGCTTTCGAGTACCTCAGTCACGTCTTGGAGTATCTCTTCCTTTAGAAGGTGGTCGTTAGGCTCACTCTTTTCCTCATCGGGGTCTAGCACACTCGAAACCACACTCTTGTGGTTGGTTGGCGTCGTCGAGTAGCTTCCTTCCGCCGAGGACGCCCGAGGTCGCGGCTCGTCCGCTTCTCCTTCCTTGTTTAGGTCTCCGTTCACTGCTTCGATCTCAGTTTCTTGGTCATCTCTCGTAATTTCTCCTTGGTTCGCACTCCAGCGTTCGTCAATGTTCGCGGCTATCGAGGGACCGTCCCATACGGGTCCCGAGCCTACCTCCGTCACAAACGCTTCTTGCTCCGCCCTCCAACTGCCGACAGCATTTGGGACCACTGACACCTCATTCCACACGGGCGCCGTATATCCGTCATCCACAAGCGGCAGTAGCTCTTCAGTTCTCGTCATATGTTCATTGTTCACAGTCGTTTCATTCCTTTCCGGTAAGGCGGAACTTATCCCACCTCCAACGGGACACCGCGCATGGTCGGTCGGGGGGGGGGCAGTGCTGCCAGGTTTGGTAATAAGGTTTCTACATTAATAAGTAAAAAGCTATTAATAACTCGACTTTCTACGTTTCTACAAAACGTTTACGTAAGCATTGTAAAAATGGGCCTGCTTGAGTTAGCGAGCTACTTCAAGTTTCGGATCTTTCGAATCCTAGCTCGAAATTTAAGCCAGTTCTTCGTTCTCTTCCAACTCCACAAGACTTTCGCCGAGATTCATGATTGTTGTTCGCCCTCCAGCTAAATCCGGTCGCCCCCCCCAGGCGAGCTTAGCGCGCTTTTCACACGTGCTGGCGGGAAGGCAAACTTCGCCCTCTACTGGACGGTATGCAACCGGTGCCAGCAGCACCACATCGACCACCGTGGACCTGATCCGGAGCGGATCCGGGGACGGAGAGATTACTGGGAAAAATATCTTAGTCGATGCGTGCACCACGAAGGCGAGTTCGTTGGATTTAAACGCCCTGGTGACGAGTCATCGACGCCTTCAAATAAGAAGCCAAAACAGGCGTCGAGTTTTACTGTAGCAGAGCGAGAGACATTCTGGAGGCTCCTACTGGAGTTCCAGGCCGAGGCGCTTCTACCTGACTCATTCGTGGAGCTCCGGTCAGCTCGCTATGTGGCTGAATGCTAAGTGTGAAGGAGCATTTCCCGGTCGACATGTTTTCGGTAAAGATGTACTCGACAAGTACGCAGAAGCTTACGCTGGCGAACAACGTAAAGCGCTAGCATTAATTCAGCGAGTCTCGGGTGGTCGTGTTAATTTTCTCTCGGACGTTTGGCAAAATATTGCCAAGCAACACATTTTGGGGTGTCAACTTTCACTATTTGGCGATGTGATGACTTATGCGCTACGTCCCACCGGATCGGAGCATCATGCATTGGTAATTGCAAAGCAACTTGAAGAGATTTTGGTAGAACTACTTGATGGAGGCTGGAATGTCGGAGCAATTGTTACTGATAACGCGGGTCAGTGTGGTCGAGCTAGACGGATTCTCGCGCTACAATGGCCTGGCATTAGTTTCATGCGATGTTTCGCCCACGACATCAATAATCTGGTAAAAGCAGTGCTAAAACGAGTTTTTAGAGATGTTTCAGAGCAGGCCGCAGCTGCAGTGAGGTTCCTGAATGCTTCATCTGAGAAATGGCGTGTCCGCGCCGATAGGGCAATGATTGCGCGATACGGCAAGTCTCCAGCTCCGGCGCTGTTCTCGCTGTGTCTAACAAGATTGAATTCCATGCAAAAATGTTTTGCATCACTATTACGAGTTAAATTGGCCCTTAAAGATTTCTTGTTTGCAGATAGAAACGATACCGAGTTCCCTGACAAACTGCGGGTTGTGGGGAAACAACTGTTTTGGCGGGATCTACAGGATGGGGAAAGAGTTGTGCGCCCCCTCTGTATTGCGTCTTTTCGATTGCAGCGCGATGAAAACACCCTAGCAGACGCTGTGAAATTATTTGGAGACATCTTTAAGGGGTTTGCTGCTAGTGATTACTCAGACAAGCTTGTAGAATGTAGAGCGCTAGGCTTCGTGTGAGCAGCCTCTTTTTATCTTGGGGTATTTTCTTCATCCTGTTTTTGTGGGAGAAGCTCGTCGTACGCCATCCACAAGACTGACCAGGGAGCATGACGTATGTGAATCTGCGCTGTAATATCACCGTCGCTACATAGATGAGGATGTCACGGGCTTGCGAGGGGAAATGTCTGGGTGGATAATAGGTCAGTACGGCAACACAACCCCGGCGGATTTTAGTGGCTCTATCATGCAATACTGGACGTATCAGCAAAGGAATAACCCGTGTGATAAACTACCTGGGCTAGCGCTGACTATCTTGTCAATTGCTGTGAACTCCGCCACCTGCGAACGGCTCTTCAGTTAGCTTAGTCTTATTCACTCCCCACGGCGCAACCAGACGCGTGTGAAAAAAAAACACTCAAGCAGCAGATTGTCAGACAACATGTCCGAAGCAAAAACCGAAACAAAAATACAAAAGGTGTTGCTACAGTCAAAGAGAAAGCAACTGCGCCACTTGATCCGACCGAGCTTCCTATCACTTCCTCTCCTGAGCGATGTGATAGTGTTGGCGGGCTTGATCATGACGACACACAATGTATAGCTCCCAGCCTATTTGAAAACGTTACGCCAGGACAAAATTTGGCTAACGAAGCGGTCGAAGTTGATGAGACAGCCGAGATGCAGTCCTCTAATTTGTATACTACGCCACGTCATCGAACTCTATCAAGCGCTGATCGCACACGACGTGGCAGCTCCGTTCGACAGTCTTGTCGAGCAAGAAGAAGTGAAGATGCTAGACAACGAGGAAGCCATGCAAGCTCACATGCAAGTCGCTTGCTTTACTGCGGAGCTGGAAATCTGCACGTGCTTCAATCACCACACGAAACAGCATCTTCTCCAACACCTTCAGTAACCCGAGACCTTCACGACACCTTCGCTTTAGCAGGAGATAGCGATGGAGCCAACGACAATTATGGTGAAGATGGCGGTGACGTAGACGGCGACGAGGGCTGCATTGCTGCATGGGAGAACGCCATTCCTGACTCACCCGTCGCAAATGACGCACAAGCCCCTCCCGGCGCATTAAGCACAGCAGACTCGGCACTTTCGAATATATTATTCCGCTCCCCGATCGGCACTTTCGAAGATATTATTCCGCTCCCCGATCGCACAGAACTACCGACTGAGAATGTCCCCAACTACCCTCAAGAACGAACACTGCGTGGAATCAAGGCTCGGAAAGTAAAACTGCAGATTCTGTTTCCCATCGTCACTGACGTTGAGAGAGTACAGTTGTAGCAGAGATGCGTAAATCCACTGGTATTCGCTCCATTAACCCGAATCAAATATGGCGTCAATTGATTTTATTATTAGTATCAGCTCTCTACTAAGTCTTTTTCTCCAGTGAGATGGATTTCGGTATGCAATGGCGCAGAGATCGCTCACCTTCGACCTCGCGTAACCAAAGACGCGTCACAAGCGCGATCCAGCACCTCCAGGTCCACTAGCTGTCCAAATTTCAGTCGCATGAGCTGCTCGCTGCGGTCCTGAGCTCTTGCAATGGCTTCTTGCTGCTGACGCTTCTCCTTAGCAAGCACGTTCTGCTGCTTGTGGAGGTCTCGGAACTGTTGACGCAGCTTCTTGGTCTCTGCTTGCAGCGACTCGATACGCTCAGACAACGCAGAGAAGGCGCGAGTGGTGAACACGAGGCAGCCAGCAGCTTGAGCAGGTAGCGTCCAGTTCTGCTGAGTCGGAGACGGGGCTTGAAGACAACATAGTTGCCGCGTACTGAGCGGCACCACGACGTCCAGCTGGTTGCTCTGGAACTGCTGCGTATCCTGCTCCGTCGCAGCCAGCTCCTTGTTGATCGCACGTTGCTCGGCTGTCTGACGCTCTCCGGCCTTCCGAAGCTCTTCGATCGCCTTGTTCAGCTCCCCCATGGCGTCGTCTACATCGGCACGCTTCTCACGCAAGGTCAGCACCTTCTCGTACAGAGTCAAGTCGCATCCAGACGGACAGGCATCCTCTTCTTCTTCGGCATCGTCGTCGTCATCTTCGTCATAGTCTTCGGCTTCGTCCTCTTCTTCGTCGTCGTCGTCTTCTTGCTCCTTGCCGTCTCTCGCACTGTCAGGCTCTTTCCCTTCTTCCTTGCCACCGCAGCTGGTTTCTTCTTGGCTCGCTTGATCTTGCGCTTAAACAGCCCCTGCAGCGCCGCAAAGCTCGGGCGAGGTGTAGCACTTGACCCCGTGCCGCCGCTCACAAGCGTCAGGAACTCTGCTTGAGCAGCCTTCTCCTGTCGCGCCCATTCATCCAGATCGCGTTTCCTGATCGTCAGCAGGTCCTGGACATCGCGCAGGTTCGCCACTAGCCGATCGCCGTTGAATCACTAATAGTGATATACTATGGAAGGGGCAAAGCAACTCATTTTACTTAATAAAAATAATGTTTACATTATTACCATCCCTTATTAAGTTAATAAAGTATAAATATGTAATTAAACAGCACTGGGGGGGGGTCAAAGGGCCCTTCTTTTCTAGCTATAAAGGCGGAGCGATAAACGCCTCAGGCTAGTTGCCTCCGGGTTGCTGAGTCGATGCGGCGAGCGATGCGAATCCCACGGAGCCCGGTACCTTGTCTTCAAGGTAGGACCCGAAAGGAAGCGGGGTCGCCACTCTTGCTGGCTTGTGGCGTGGCGTGGCTTCTCCGGTACTTCCGGAACCGCGCTTCGCAGTCTTCTATAAGTCCTTAACGGCGGCCGTTGAAGGGGGGTGGGGTGGGGGGGGTGTCGGCACGCAGGCGCTGCAGTTTACGGCCCGTCTGCGCCGGTCACACCACTGGTAGTCGCGTGTCTTGTCACCTGCAGTCATGTCTCAAGCGGTCCCGTCTGAGGTAACACTTAGCACAAAGCTAATAAACACTCCATGTCAGTGCTTTTGTTCGAATCATTGGCATAGGCGAAGTGATACGAGCACTAAGCTGTAGCGATCATGCTGTAGTTGCAGAAACAACGACGCCTCACTTTCCCTTGCAGCGTGTCATGGCACTACATTTCGGCTGGAATCCGAGCAGAGACCACACTCTACGAGGATGTGGTTGGAACGATGGAGTCCACGTGTGCCTTAGGCATTAGCTTTGCAGTGTCATTCTCCAACTTGAGCCCAAGAGCCCCACCACCACACCCGGTCTAGAGCAGCGGCACACAAGACCGACCACCAACGCAGCTCCAAGAATGCACAAGTACGTTCATTGATGTTAATAATAGAATGTATCTAGCGTGTTGAGTCTGCGTTCATCTAACATGTTTGATGGTGCAGTGCTATGAGCTCGACATGAAGAAGTGCGTAATTGGGTCGCGCTCGTAGTGAAAGAACTGGCACATTGGGAGTGGTCTTCATCTCCGTCTGCTTCGTACTTGCCGACTACTTCGTTGTCGAGGGTGCCAAGGTCATGGACGTCCGCAGTTGGCTTGATGCTGGTCAACGGTGTCGTCACTCACTCGTGCTTGCAGACTGTCGTCACTGATCCCAGATTTGGACGAATTAAACAGGTATCTAAAGGAGACGAAGCTGCTGCCTCCACCGCCTCCAGCTCCGTCAATACCTGCGCCTCCTTCTTCGTCACCGAGCAATTCTCCATCTCCGCCTCCAATCGAATGCTTGCCACTCTGTCCACTCCCGCCACGTCCTGCCATTCGATGGCAAATGCAATGCTGTCAACGGAGACACTGCGACGTCCACCAGAGACGTCTGCGGATTCAAGAGACACGTGCCTTCAAAAGAATAGCGATATGGGCCCGCAATCCCCGCCACACCTGCCGAGGTCGGCGTGGCGCCTGTGATCCCAGATCGCTAGAGCGGAGTAGTCTGCACTACTCGCAGCAAAACCCCAGTCGAGGTGTCCATGTATCGCTGAGAGTCCCTCGAAGTCTCTCGTGTTTCCCGGTACATTGGAGAGTTGAAATCCGTCTCTAGCTGCTTGTCCAGTCACACGTAAATCGAGTGGGATCGTTGTAGCAACCGGTGCGAGACCAGACCCTGCTTCATTCAAGCCACCGCCGCCTTCTCCATGGGCACAGCAGTAATCCGTCGAGCCCGCACCGCAACCTGCACCAGCTACGACGGCTGCTCATCCATCCACGCGCACGTCAGACGCACCACCGCTGGGAAATCGCCTGTGCCGCCATTTCCTCCGCCGTTGAACCCACCCCGAACGTTTTGAAGGCCTCCACCGCCAACCAGAATGTCTACAAAATCGCCGGCACGGGCACGGAGAACGCCACGTGCAAAGACACCGTTACGCAAGTCGCTTGAAGCCCCGTTTGAAGACCGTTCACCAGCTCTTCCAGCGCCCCAAGCGTAGACATCTAGAGCAACAATTCGATGCGCAAGATGAGGACCGAACTGGTCAATGGGAACTCGATAGTTATGGACACTTCCCGTGTAGAAGAAGGAATGTTCCGCCAGTCTTTCGCCCGACCACCTGACTGGTAAAACAAGAACAGCTTCGTGCTCGCCAGGTTTGGTTTCATCGCCACTGGTAGAGCCGCCACTGCCGCCGTGCCCAGTCAAGCGGACGTAGTACCGGTCCTGTGTGTTAGCGCACTGCTGACGAGCTACAGCAAACACCACTTGGCGTATTCCGAGCGCTAAATCCTTGACGTTGTCGCTGTTCGAGTCGTCGTCAATCGTGTAATCTGCCAGGAACTCTACGAACTAGTAGAAGCTACCAGCTTGCCGTTCAGCCACCGCTCTAACGAGCGTGATGTACGTGGTGTATCCTTTCAGCGACGTCATTGAGATGACGGGCGTAAGCCGGATCTGTAGGTGGACCTATATGAAATAAAATGTGAATTTAGTAAAATTAAAAGCTATGGCGCTTGTGATACAAATCATAAAAGAGATCTCGCACATCATTGCCTCGATTTCTTTCGGCTTTGGAGGTGAGACTCGACAGCTCGTCTTGTAAGCTTCCGTTGACGTTTGGAGCGCCGACAACTCCTGGATACGCCATTCGATTGGCCTTGATGTTCAGCAGATGTATCAGTCTAGACGTGTTCGTCCTCGAGGCTGTAGTCCAGTATCTCCGTCGCAGCGGAACGCACAATGGAAGGCGCTGGACTATGCGTAGAGGTGGCTGGCTCAAATCCTTGTGCGTCATCTTCATTCTGTACAGTATGGTCGACGGCTGTTTGCACACTTGGTGGATCCGCTCGCACCGATCGCTCTACTATATGGTCTGAATCAGAAGATGAATCTTGATTTCTATCGCCCTCTCTAATATCTCCGGTCGATCTTGGCGTAGAAGCGCGAGGCTTGAGACAAAGAGTCAGTATCAGAGTCAGGTGATTTTTCTAGAGTCTGAGCATGGACATGGCTTGGCCTGACAAGCTGTCTAATCCGCATGCTTACACCAAAGCACGACACGCCTCTATGCACACTGATAACATGGAAGCACATAACATGCTTCCTGTTGTAGGCGCACGTGCAAGACTTGCTCCTTGTATCTACGACCCAACCACCTGCAGGCGTGCCTTCGGTTTGTTTTTGCCTAGGATTGACCGATCCGAATGATCTAGCAGCAAGTTTCTTTTCGGAGGCTGCCAGCCGCAATGGGCGCTGCTCTACACGATACAGATCCTACTGGAGGAAGGATAGGCACCACGAGGCATTCTCTCTTGCACATAAGGCGATAAAGCCTTACCAGCTCTGAAGCAGTAGGGACCGATGAAAACGCCGGGTCCGAGCTAAACAAAGCCAGTCTGGCACCATTTAGGGTTTGTATGAGCTCACTAGGAATGGAAGGTCCATCAGGACATTCTAGCTTGACTTTGCGGTGATACTGCTCCAATGGATTATTGGTAGCCGCATATCCTGGTGGTGTGTGATGAGCCTGCCAATGCATAAAACGGTGCAATTTGACCCACATTTTAGCAATGTGATCAGTTAATTTGCGTACTGGTGATCCTCGGGGTTTGGCACTCCATTTTGTCAGAATTTGGGTTTTCACAACTGGGTACTCTTGCTCACTAGCATAGTTCATATCATAAAGATCCATAAATACAGATCTTGTGTCACCTTCGCTGACGCGCTTTTCACATGAATGCTTCCATACATTCTTTGTCACATGAAACCAGCACATTAAAACAACAGTGTGTGGTAGTTCTGTGACACAAGCGTTAAATTGTGCTTTGTCAGCATCCATCATTACAAATTGTGGTGCAAATTGAACACCAGCACAATCCATGCACACACGCTTCAGGTATCTGATGCACCATCCAATGTATATTGCTCGTTTCTGCGAAGTGCAAAAGTACACCATTGAAATAAAGTGCCCAGCGCGATCCGAAAATCCAAATACAAAAACCAAGTAGCCCTTTATAACCATGCTGTGCGTATTGTCAATGTGCAAAATTGTAATGAATTTGGGATGAGTCTGGACCGCAATGTAGCTTCGAATTAGACGTAAACAGGTCATCCATACCCGTATTGTACTCGTCACAAGTCCTTGAACCAGAATGTAGCCATCTGTTATGAAGATTCAACAACCCAAATCCTATAGCAACAGGGGGTAAAATCGGGCGTAGATCTCAAAAATGTGGTCAGAATTAGCTGATTCGCAGTCGTTCTGGCGGTACAAGACTTTTTTAAAACTCTTTCCAGATGCTCCAGGTTTACGGAAAACGGGCTGTCTTTGAGGCGGTCATTTCATTGGGCAATTCCCAAAACCACATGGATACGCGCAAGAAAGTACAAGAAAGTACACAACTGAACAGCAGCAAATCCGATCACGATTGTAGCGATTTGAGTGCAAGGAAAAAACAAATATATTTATTTAAACATGCACCTTATCCTGGGTCGTAATCACGCCTCCTTCCGCGTTAAGTTCACATATAAAATAATAGAGGTTAACGTTTAATAGCTGATAAGGAACATGCACCGCTAAATTGCTGATGTGACCTCAAACTTGGTCTCATTATCGCCTCTGTAGGCACTCGTCAAGTGCAGTGTGCTATCTGTAGACACTCGGCAACCAGGTCTTGGGCTCGCTGCCCTCTGAAGAGGCCATTTTCCTTGGCTTTGGACATGAAGTCAAAGCACCGTACTACGTAATCCTTCTGGCCTGGCGTCAGCTCTTGCTGCGAGGGGCTTGGCTCGGACATGTTAGTAAGGACGCAAATAGCTCACTAGATGCACGAGATGCTAAGGTACATTTACGTAGGCTCCTTGTTCTATTTTGGTGCCAACTCGAGGAGTTTCGCCAATTCAAATGGCATGTCAAAATAATCTGGTCCAACGTTCAATGACAAGTACAGTACAGGGTACGCTTCCGATCCGCCACCAAGGTGCGATACAGTTCCTTCTGCACCGGGCCCCGTGTCGCATTGAGATTCACATTAAATGATCATTGTGTCTGATGTCGTCTCTATATCAATTTGGTCATCGAGGTGACCATCACACAGCTCTATCATCGGCGCCATGGAATCTTTAGGATTCTTGCTTCTCCAGTTCTTAACGAAACCTGATACTTGTGAGCTAGTAGGAGCTGGACCATCGAAACTATTCTGGTCAACCAGTGGACAGATAAGCGAATGTAGACGTGAATCCGTAGTTTGCTCTCCAGCTCAGATGCTGTCCGTAATATAATCTTTCATTTGCTGAGTAAGCTTGCTCTTTACTGGTGGTGGGGAATCATCGGTGCCCATCGCATGATTGCCTAGTTGAAGCACCTCACACGTGCTGGATGACAGACAGATTTTGAACTTGTAGCGACAGGGGCCGATGCCGTTCGCGTTCAATGGCGTATCAGTATCAGTGTCGGCCGCAAGCTGCAGGCGTGACTTGCAGCGCTCAGATTTACACAGAGCAAG